GATATACAGGTTTCAAGAGAAATTATATTTAAGTACATTTCAGTTGATCATAAATGCTTGACAGTACATTCAGCAGCACTTTAACCATATTTCAAAGACAACAGAAGTATGAAATCACATATAAAGATGTACTGTACTTAAGTCCTACTTAGCTGAGCTAACTGTATTCAACATCAATTAAAATTATTATACATTTTCATTTAATAGCAATTAAGTGTCCAAAAACATTACATTCAGCCCGGTTTCACAGACAGGGCTTAGACTAAGCCAGGATTAGATCAAAGTTAAATTAGGACATTTAAGTAATTTTAATAAACATGCCTTAGAAAAAAGCATCACTGGTGTGCATCTTAAGACAAAACAAAGGCTCTGATATATTTTAAGATCAATCAGTGCAAGTTTCTTTCAGTTGAAACAGCTCAGACTTACAGTTTAGTCTAGGATTAAGCCTCGTCTGTGGAACCGGGGAAAAGTGTGTTATTCCCGTTACATGTTCTCTTTTTAAAAGTACGCTAAAGTGTACTTTATTTTCACAAGGGACTAACTTGTGTCTATGTCACACAGTTGAGTCGTGGGCAGTTAAACCGTGACCTGAAAACATTTTCATTGTTCAATGCAGAAGTAAACAGCAATGCTAAATATATGAAACTCTGCAGTTCTACAGAGGTTTGCGGCGTGATCACCTCAGAGCGAGGGGTGCAGAGGCGGGATATGGGCACGGTGAGGACATCCGATGCTTTGCAGGTGCGCCGGTACTCGCAGGAAGGAAACCTGACCGTGGCGATCCCCTCCTGCTCATTAATGGACATGACCACCCCAACACTGTCCAGCACACCTTTACCCACCACCTGCCACCGAGAACAAACCCTTCAGCAAGACACTAGAACAACTGAAAGAATTCATCTGCGAAAAACACGCGTCATCTGCTAAACTATGCATGTTAAGATTGCATTAAATGCAAGCAAAGTGTCTACTTTTAAGGTTTCAAATAAGTTTTTGGAGAATAAAAAGTAAAATTTTGGTCGAAATAATGTTACATTGTCATTCAGTGTAACACAATATTTATGTAAAAATTCAAACAACATGCTTATTCTGACGTGTACATATTAAAATATATAAAAGAATAAGGGAGCGTATTAAATGTTATTGTGTTTTAAATTAGTAAAAAACCTTACTGACAAACGGGCAAAACCTAGGATAGTGGGTTACTAAATAAACTAATTAGTATTTGGGGTGAACGTAATTAGTCTTCTAATGTGTCATAAATTGATTTTTGTTGTAAATATGCCTGACGAGATTGTTACACTGAATGACATTTTAGTGGGTGTCTTCTGTAAATCAGGGGAAAATGTATGATATTTATTTTTTGCTCGGAAAAACAAAAACAAAATTGCAGTTCAATTAAACAGAAAACTTTTACAGAAAACAACAACAATTTAAAGCAGTATTACACTTATTGTTTTTATGCTTAAACCCTTTTTCGTCTTTGACCCGTGGATTTTTGCATTACAAGTCAGAAGTTTTTGAACAGTGAGATTTGTAATTTTTCTTTAAGAAGTCTCTTCTGCTCACCAAGCCTGCATTTATTTGATCCAAAGTACAGCAAAAGCAGTAAAATTGTGAAATATTTTTACTATTTAAAAGAACTGTTTTCTATGTGAATATATTGTAAAATGTAATTTATTCCTGTGTTCAAAGCTAAATTTTCAGCATCATTTCTCTAGTCTTCAGTGTCACATGATCTTCAGAAATCATTCTAATATGCTGATTTGCTGCTCAACATTTATTATTATTATTATTATTATAATGATCAATATTTAAAACAGTTGAGCATATATATATTTTAAAGGATTCTTTGACAAATAGAAAGATCCAAAGATCAGCATTTATCTGAAATTAAAGGCTTTTGTAACATTATACACTATACCATTCAAAAGCTTGGAGTCAGTATAATTTTTATTTTTTGGGGGGGGAAAGAAATTATAGTAATTAATACTTTTATTTAGCAAGGATGCACTAAAATGATCAAAAGTGATGATAAAGACATGTTACAAAAGATTTCTATTTTAGATAAATGCTGTTCTTCTGAACTTTCTATTCATCAAAGAAACCTCAGCTGTTTTAAACATAATAATAATAATAATAATAATAATAATAATGGCAGCAAGTCAGCATATTATACTGATTTCTGAAGATCATGTGACACTGAAGACTGGAGGAATGATGCTGAAAATACAGCTGCACATCACAGAAATAAATAAAATTTTACAATATACTCACATAGAAAACAGTTATTTTAAATAGTAAAAATATTTCACAATTTTACTGCTTTTGCTGTACTTTGCATCAAATAAATGCAGGCTTGGTGAGCAGAAGAGACTTCTTTAAAAAAAAACAAAAAAAACATTACAAATCTTACTGTTCAAAAACCTTTGGCTGGTAGTGTATCATAACGGCTCACCTGGACTTCAGAGCCGATCTTGATGGTCTCCTTGAATCCTCCCAGCGCGCAGAGAGCCGCCACGGCCTGCCGACCAATGGCCTGCAGCTTGGCTAGCCTCCTGCCGCTGCTGTTGCCGCTCTCCAGAATACTCTCAGCATGTTTGCCCAACTGAGGGATGAACATCAAGGCCCTGGACAACACCTGAGAGAGAGAGAGGCACGGAGAAACTCAGAAAACTCATCTTCAAGAAACGGCTAAAAACACATCTCTTCCGTCTTTATTTGACCCTCTAGCCCTCTCTATTCTAATTTGGTTTTATCTATTTGTTTTCTTTTTTTATATGTGACCCTGCAGCACAAAAGCAGTGTTAAGTCGCTGGGGGATATTTGTAGCAATAGCCAACAATACATTGTATGGGTCAAAATTATTGATTTTTCTTTTATGCCAAAAATCATTAGGATATTAAGTAAAGATCATGTTCCATGAAGATATTTTGTAAATTTCCTACCGTAAATATATCAAACTTCATTTTTGATTAGTAATATGCATTGCTAAGAACTTCATTTGAACAACTTTAAAGATGATTTTCTCAATATTTAGATTTTTTTGCACCCTCAGATTCCAGATTTTCAAATAGTTGTATCTCAGCCAAATATTGTCCTATCCTAACAAACCATACATCAATGGAAAGCTTATTTAGTCGGCTTTCAGATCTCAATTTGGAAAAATTGACACTTATTTTGTGGTCCAGGGTCACATATATATCTAAAAAAGATTTGTCACAGCACTTGGATTTTATTGTTCTTTTGTTGGTTTTGATTGCTTCTATACAAGTCGCACTGGATAAAAGCATCTGCTAAATCACTGCATGCAAATGTAAAACACAAACTACACAGAAATATTTCAACAACGTCTGTTTCCCTGAGCACTCAGTGAAGTATTTTTATTTGATGAAAGAGCGCAGCTCACCTTTTCTGCGGTGCTGGTCCATATTTGAGCCGTGTTGGACTCAGGCGCGGTCAGGAGACTGTGCAGCAGAGCGATGACCTCCGCAGCCATGCTGTTCGCCACGTGACCGCTGATGAAGGGACGCACCGGATCCGAGCTGTGTGTCAAATCACAGGCTTTCAGGCATTTCTCCTTCTACAAATACCTTGGAATCAGCAGCTGAGACCACTCAGGAAGCGTTAAATACTGTAGCATTCTATTTTATGAAAATAAGATCCAAGAAGCTCACATCATGCAAAGGTGTGACATAAAATGATAGCCCATATGTTAACACTGTGCTACACAATAGTTAGCACGATATCAGAACGGCACGTTTCACTGAAAGGCAATGAGTTTGCAGCACATAAAACGGGAAGACCTTCTGAAGATGCTTACCGAGCCAGCTCAGCGTTCCTCTCTCTGCACACTGTGGACTGGGCGGTTTTCTTCTTGTCACCTGTGGTGGATATCCCAGCATTCTCCTGGCCTGTGCTCTCTATCGGGGGACCCACACTAACAATGAGCCCAGACTGAGCCCACTTATTGGCTTTCCGCAGAGCAGACGAAGCCTCCTCCGTGATCACCTCACAGCAGCCGCTCTGCAGAACACAGACCAACAGCATCTCACTCATCCAGCTAAAAAGAATAAATGATATCTCGATATTTTCTGGGATTTTATCGATATTTAGACTATATTTAGCGGAGTGTGTTATTGTGCTGGTTTCTTAAGGACTTTCGTGGACAGCTGACTCCGTACGTTTTTGATATTCTTCATGTTCTGTGTGCACGGTGGTCTGATAGAAATTAATCTTTCACAATAAGTTTAAATTGAGTTTTACCTTTTAATGGGCATTTTTACCTTTAAAAAGCCATTTTTCTAAAAGTGTGCATTATCCTTCGAGTCGAACTCTTACATTTAATCACTGAATGAGAATAATAAGACATTACTGTTCAGTGCATAACGTTAACCTGCAATTACAAATGCATAAATAATGTTTTGATATATTAAACATAAAACGTTGAATACTGTTATTTGAAAAAATAGTCGAAATGTGAAATTAAAACCGCCAGTAGGTGGCAGCAAGTCACGGTTAATTAGTGAGTCATTGCGACTGAATCATTTAAACGAGTGATTCATTCGGGAACGAAACACCGTCAAGTTGCTCAGAGACGCTAAACAGTGCTGTGGCTGTGTCTGGAGTTTTTTTTGTCGTCGAAATAGTGCAAAAACAGCCAGTTATGGCGTCTAAAACGTAAGCCTCTTAACTAACTTCTTGTTTTTTTTAACTGTTGTAAAAAAAATCAATATTACATTTGTAATCATGGTGATTTTTGGAGAATGAACGGCACCCTTTGTGTGATATTGATTAGCTATATGAAATGATATAAATATATACATTGTCTGCCCCCATATCTTGAATTTTGTGATCATTGTAAATGCATTTTATTGGACTGAATCATGCCGTGAAAGAACGCACTCTAAATGCGCACACGCTAGTCTAGACTTCACGTAATGCACTGCACTCTGTAGATGTGTTTTGAATGCGTTTTGCAAAATACCCGATAATAGGGATGCACCGAAATGAAAATTCTTTGCCGAAGCTGAAACCGAACAAAATGAAACACTGGGCCGAAGGCCGAATACCGAACACGGTTTTTCAAGTTTATTCCCCATGTATTTTGACAATTTTTTTCACCATTGCATAAATTAAATAGCCAAAATGTGCTTTTTACCATTTTGTCTCGTTTATCAAAGAAAAAAATCAATTACAAAACAATTTAAAAATATTTAACACTAAACCTTCTTTAACATTCTAGCAGACATTACACCAACAAAGCACAATTTAACTTAAAATTAATACGTTAGTAAAATAATATTTTTGGCGATCAGACCCCCTTCTTGAATCAGGCATCTATTTTTACTGTAAAATTAAAAGAAGCCTTGCTGAGCAGAAGAGACTTCTTTTAAAACATTAGAAAATATTACAGATCCCAATTTGAACACTATGTGCGTATGCTATAATAAATGTATTAACAGAGCTGTTGTAATTATTATCATTATTACTGTCTTACTTTTTATTTTATTTTACAGAACAACAGTAAAATTACAATACTAGCATTTATGAATGTTGTAGTTCTTGCTTTTTGTCAACTTTTATTTTGGCAGAAACGCACACGAAGAGCTTATTTTTGTTGACAACAGCAGATTTATAAACGAGTCTCATTACGAATACGTCGCACGTATCGCATTGTCACATGCCTTGTAAAAATTAATAAAAATGTGACTAAGCAACTTTGAACCCTGGTTAACAAGCAGATAGCACCGCTGTCAGAATACATGCAATGCGTGCGTGTATTAGAAAGCATAACGTTCTGCAGTTTATTTACTAATTGTTTAAGGCCATTTGGCGATTTCAATCATCACACAGTAAACCAGCAACAATCACCCCTTCCTCTTCTCATCGAAGACATGCAGATGCAGTCCTAAACAGTCTCTCGCTGTCGGTGCTTGTAAAGATTTTTCGTCTTTCTCGGACAGTTTTAAATGCTTCCACACTGCTGACGTGTTTACTGCATAATAAAGAGTGCGTGCCTCTCACTTTACGCTGGTTGCTATTTGATAGCGCCACGCCATTGTTCGGTACAATTTATTCGGTCTTTTCGCTTATTCAAATTTCAGTTGCCGAACATTTGGTGCATCCCTACTCAATAATGTCAAATCGCACAACAACTACGATATTATCGCAGATGATATATATCCCACACCCCTACATCCAGCACTGCTTTCTGCTCCCCAAAACCATCAACACTAAACCAGAGCTGACCTTCGTCATGTCCCGATCCATCTTCACCACCTTCTCCATGTTCGCTCCGGTGCCGAGGCGGAAGGGACGACCCTCTGAGCTGCTGCAAGGTGTCACGCAAACACTGGCGTCAGTCTCAACTTCTCCAATACCGTGTCCGAATCCAGGTGTTCAGTGAGGTGAGTGTGTTTTACCTGAGTAACGGCTGAAGCACCTCATGGGATGACTGGTCTTCTCTTTTGTGGATGAAAATGGACAGCTTGCCATCCACGGCTTCACCCTCCTCGCTGGCGTCTCTGTCGGTCTTAGCGCTGCTCTTGGGACAGGCCCGTGTCAGACTGGTGTCGGCCTCAGAGGCGCTGGGGGAGAGCAACGTCTGACAACCTAAATAATATAATATAATAATAAAAATAAACATGCTGATAAAGCAGGAAAGGAAAAAAAACAGAGATAATATTAAAATTATTAAATAAATTATTCCAAAGTTAGAAATACATAATTAAATAGTGCCCGGAAGTAAATTAAAATAATAATATAAGGAAAAATAGTGACAGTGAATTTGCAGTTTTCTTTGATGTACTATAAGTCCGTAAGATTATTTTTTTATTATTATAATTTTTTTAAGAAATCAATATTTTTATTTAGCAGCCAGTGTTATTTCAGTATCACTGAGATACTATTATAGTTGTATTAATATTTAGAATTTTTTTATTTTCTGTTTTAGTAATTTTGTTGCATATTTTCATTTTTTTTTTTTTTTTTTTTAGTTTGTTTAGATTAGTTTTTTTTTGTAGATCAAGTTAAACTAAATAAAAATGAGAGATGTTGTTCATTGAATGCTGAAATTGTTTTTATTTATTTCAAGTAACGGAAATATATATATACTGTATATATATATATTTTTTTGTTTTGTTTTATTTTATTTAACTAAAATATGCCAGGATGTTGCAAGGATATATTAATAAAAATACTGAAAAAAGTGAAAAAACATTGTTACAGAAAATTTCCATTTGAAATAAATGCAGTTCTTTCAACTTTCAATTCAACAAAAGGATTGCGAAAAATAAAATGCATCACAATTTACACAAAAACATGAAGTTTTCAACATTTAGTTTTTCTTGAGCAGCAACTCTCTGAAGATCATGCGACACTGAAGACTGGAATAATGATGCTGAAAATTCAGCTTTGATCACAGAAATAAATTACATGTTAAACCACATTCACGTAGACGACAGCTATTTTAAACTGCAATAATATTTCACAAAACTACAGTATTTTTATCAAATAAATGCACCCTTGGTGAGCAGAAGAGAACATAAAAAACACTTTAAAAAATTGTACTGACCTCAAACTTTTGAACGATTTATTTTCTTATAATCTAGTTTTAGAGTACAAAATCTTTGGCCGGATCACAATAATAGACTTTTAAAAATATATTTATAAAACGGAGAGTTCCGGTCCTTGATTCTGATTGGCTGAGCCAAGTTCGAAGCCGTTACTCTACAAACACACACCTTTATTTACTTCTGTGTGCTGCTCGGGAAACACTTTGTTGGAACCACAACCGTTTCTGAGGAGCTATATTGTTTGGTGGAAGAATACTGTTTTTATTAATATCATTACACTTTATTTCCTCCGTTTTATTTTGTGAAACCTTACTACGTATATGGCTTTGCATCGTATCTAACAACGCCCCTTAGCTGTAATAACGTCACTGTTAACCATGGCTTCTTGGGGCTTATTGCTTTAATTTGAGAGACCCTTTTGTTATATTGATTATAATCAAGCTGCATTCGCTCATACCCGGCACCACGTAGTCCGCCAGCTTGGCCAGCAGCAGCGACGCGATGCGGAAGGCAGGATCACTGGCCTCCTGCTGCTCTGCGTCCAGCGCATACGCCGAGTAGCTCCAGGATGGCAGCGCTACATTCCCACAATCCTCCACACTCATGAGCGGCAGCGCAGCGCGGCACAGCTGCAGGATGATCAGCACCAGTTTGGGCGAGGGCCGCTGGTCCAGGAGCAGAGACAGCAGTTTAGACACGCAGGCAGGCTGGCTCAGGATGGTTTTGCCAATGTGGCTCCTGGAAGAGGAGAAAGAGAGACGCAACAGTTCAAACCTGTGGGGATGTGCCGAGGGCCCGATACTGAGCTCCTGTACTCGTACTTGCTAAATTGCCACCACACAGCATGTGACAAGAGCCGTCTTCAGACAAAGAAACACCAACAACAGACAGCAGAATGGAGTTGTTAGAGATATGTGTATGCAATTAGCAATGCTAAACATTCAGTATTAACGCCTGTATAGCTGATGTGCGCGAGCTGATAAGCAAAAGCACGCTGAGTGGATTGAGCAGGCGCTTGTCGAGTTAATATCCCTTTCTCACAGACATCACTGGAAAGATTGTAGTTCGGTCGGATGTGTCAAAAACAAGTAAAACAATGCACAAGTTACATTACTTAACGTCAAGAGAGAGAGAAATTTGATGAAACTAAACAAATGTATAATTACAAATATATTTAAATACATGACATGCAAGCTTCAATAGAAATTAAATTACGGTATATTTTAGTTTGCCATTAATGCCTGTCAGTACATTCAACCAAATCTCAATAAAAAGTCATTATGAAATTACATATAAAGATGTACTTAAGTCCCACTTAAGTGGCTAAAAAATCACTAAAATTTTTAGTTAACTGCATTTGGTATAAAACTATAACAAAATTTCATTTAATTGTAATTAGCATGTAATTAAGTGTCTAAAAAACATAACATTCAGTTCACACCTAAGTATATTCCTTTAAACTACAGAATTTCCATAAAAAGAGTTATTTTTTATATAAACTAGGGATGTAACGGTATGAAAATGTCTTATCACGATTATAGTGACCAAAATGATCACGGTTATCAGTATTATCACGGTATGGTTAAAATGTGCTGGAGATGTTCAAAAAGTACCGACACACAAATCGTTTTATATTTAAAATCAACAAACAAATCAAATTTGTTTTTGTTCGCATAATTACTAAAACAATAACAGCTAAAATATCTAAAAACGCTTAAAGCAAGAAAGGTTTTCTTAAAAAAAAAACAAGTCAAAATTAAGCGAGTTTTTGCATGAAACAAGTAAAATAATCTTGTTTTCTGTTCATTTTGCTTACCCCATTGGCAGATTATTTTGCTTGTTCTAAGCAAAAACTCACTTAATTTTGACTTGTTTTTAGATATTTAGGCTGGAAACAAGACAACAAATCTAGGTAAGAAAAGCATTTTTTTTGCAGTGAACAGTTTAACTAATAGCATGTTGAAATATCTCATGTAAATGTTCAAATAAAGCTTTGAAAAAGTTTCATAAAAAGGTAAACCTCACATTTCAGCCTTTAAATAAAGAAAAGGTTCAAGTCAAAATGATGATTGATTAATAAATGATTATATGCATTTTATGTGCTCCATAAATAATTCTAGATAACTTATCCGAATTGTTTAAATGTGTAGAATCCACATAAGCTTGCTTTTCATCAACTGGTCTAAATTTACAGCAGGGCATGCGAAATTCTGTCTATTTTTTTGGGCCAGACAAGAACTGCACCCAGGCTGAATGTAAATGTAACTCTATGTAAATCCACTTTCTGACAGCAGGTGGCGCTTATGGAGCAGCAGAATACAAACCGCGCGAAATTTTATCATGATTCATCGTCAAACCGGTAATCATTACATCCGTAGTATAAACAGAGAAGTTGTTCATGTGAAACGGGAAGTACCTGGAAAGATCGTTGAGCAAACTGAGCACATCCTGCAGGGCGTCGTTTCCCGCGGCTTGGTTCCCGCAGCAGTCTGTCGCGCGAGCCAGGTGATTGGTTAGCAGGCTAGACACCTGTCGAGCCAGTCCAGAATGCACTGCGTCTGTGGAGCCTCCTAATCAACAACAGCGCTAGCGTTAAACAGGCTTGGGGAAAGATGCATCCAAATGTATTTTAAAATAAAATACCAAATACCTTAATTTTAAGTGTTCCAAAATAAACTACTAAATACAGCAGTCACACCATGCATCAAAATAAACTACTGTATTTTTGTACTTTAAAAATACTTTTACAAGGGAGCGTGAAATTTCTTCGCAAACCTTCCATCAACTGGCCTATTTGATCTATCCCTTCACCATTGCACTGACTCAGTTAAGTAATGTTATTGTTACTCAGTTAAGTAACAATGTTTAATAGCAACAGCTTTTCTCTGCCAGAGTCCTGCAATAAATCTGACATATGCAACCAGTTAACAGACCAAAAATAGCTTAATGTTTACCAGAATGACTCATAATTGTATCCTAATTTAGTTACTTGGTGTTTGGTAATGAAAGGCCTACTTTGCATCAGCAACACTGACTCAGTGACAAACAAGTCATTCATAAGAAAACAACTGATGGCACCTGTATTCATAGCAACTAGTTTCTAACTAGTCAATCGTTTGATTGTTAATCATAAATATAATAATGTCTTATGTGTCAAGCAGTATGCAAAATCATGATCCTACTAAACAGCTACAGGGTACGATATTCAGCAATCAAATGTGTATTTATCAATCATTGGACACCTATTTGGACGTTGAAAACAAACATTTTAGCATTTCGACAATTATTAAATGATCAATATGTTTTGATTTTAAATGTAGCCAGAAACATAATCAGAAAGTATCAACAGAACTTGTCAGGGAGTATTAAGCCAACTCCAACCACTCAATATATTGAGAGCCACAGAAGTATAGAGGACACATGCACATTAATAGAGTAGTAACAAGTCTGGGCAAATTACGGAGTAGAGGCCGCATTTTTTACGATGTCGTCATTGAAGACTTCTTACAAAGTATTTTAAAACTACTAAAAGATCCAAAATATAAAGGCATTTTCATCAACCCTATCAAATACAAATTACTAAATCCTATTTTATATTTGAAATACATGTATCATAAATACAGCCCATCCCTGGCTGCGGTGAACTTTCCTCACCTTCGACTTTCTCCCACTCGATGCAGCGGTTGGCGAGCACCTGGAAAGCGGCCCAGGCCATCGTAGCTACTTTCTGTTTTTTGGTTTGTTTCTCGTTGGAGCTGCTGTCTCTCTGACTGCTGAGACTGCACAGTCTGTCCATCAGCTGAACCAGACCGCTGCGCACCAGACACTGCTCCTCACTCCTGACCGGAGCAACACAGACGGAAGGAACGCCACGTCATCGGAATATTCCTCATTATTAACATATGGTCAATAATACTAATAAAATGCTGACAGAGTTGACATATTTTCTGTTGTACGGTGTTAGTTTTAACTAGTAAAGGTTAGAAATGTTGCCTTGGAAACTTACTGCAATAAAATTAATTTTAGATTAATGCATTACACTTACTAATAATGTAATAAAATAAATGTGCTAAATAGACATTTTGAGAAAAAAAAAATAGGGATGCACGATATTATCGGACCAATATCGGTATCGGCCGATAACGGCTTTAAATGTAAATATCGGCATCGGCCCGATATTAAAAATTATGCCGATACGTCTTGCCGATAAGAGGACTACATTAACTCGTGTGCTCAGGGTGTGCTAGCGATTAGATCACGTCAGCATTCTGGCTCATTCTTGAAGCAAAGTTTTGCCTGAATGGTGATTGGATTCACTGTTTTGGATCGCTGCATTTAAACTGAGAATGCAAGTACAGAATGCTTTCGGTGTATGATAGAGTAAACAGTAATAGCTTGTGCAGTGGCAGCCTCCCCCGGGTCCTAATGCCCGCTCGAAAAGGAGTTTAAGGCATCCGTAGGGGGCGCTGTTGGCCTACTTCTAATAAAATGAAAGCAAAATACACAAATAATATTTAGACTGTGTTTCTGATTAAATAAAGCAGTAATTGATGCCATAAAATCATGAGTATGTTTTGATTTAAAGGTCAGAAGCTATAGCTTACATGAACAAATACAAACAAAAAAAAACAAAAAAACATGACACTTAAATTAAATAATTTTATATTTACCGATTTATATATATGAATAAAATAATTAGAAACATTTATTTTAAAAAATGACAAACTAACATGAACTGAAAATAGTATAATAAAAGGTCATTTAAAATGTTAATAAATACTACCATAGCATGTACATAATACTAAAATAACACTGCTACTGTAACAGCAAGAGAAAAAAACTAATAAAAATAACAAAAGCACAAATTATTATAAAAAATAAATAAATAAAAATAAAAAAAAAAGCTAAAATGAAAACATAAATGTTATGTAATAGCAAGCTGGAATTTTACATTTAACACTTCATCATCAAAATGACTGCATTATTCATCACCTATAAATTAAAATAAAAAAGGAATTAGCTAAACAGAAATATTGAGGGTAAAAAAGAAGAAAAAAAAATCACAAAAGCACATAAAATTACTAAAACGAACTAAAATTAAAATGAAAACTCAAAATATAAAAATAAATGTTACTTTCTAGTATTTTTAATACTACATATATATGATACTGGCACTTTTTACTGTAAAAGAAAGTTGGAGTTTTAACTGACCATTATATCAAAATTGGCACCAATTACTTTTTTTTTCACCTTCCAAGTGTTGATGTAATGCTAATCAGTGCACATTAATTCTAAGAAGAAATAATTTCCTGTTCCGTTGACGTCACCTTGGTCTTGTTACATAATTCCATATTTGATTTGATGAAATAAGGGCTGAGTGCTTGCCTGGTGTAGGGGATGGTGCACAGCAGGCCGATGCTGTTGGCGCAGGCGATTGGGTAACGGGCGCAGAGAGACACCACTGACGTCATGGTCTCTCCAAAAGCCTCCTGGACCTGCTCCATCATGCCACCGCAGGTCAGTTCCTCCACTCTACACACACACACACACACACACACACACACACACTCATTCATATGGACAACTGAAGCTCCGAAGCAGAGATGCAACGATCTGCGGATTGATCTACCAATATTAAACCAAAAATCCAAAGTTTGGGGTCGGTAAGACATCTCTTCTGCTTACCAAAGCTGCATTTATGTGGTCAAATATACAGTAAAAACTGTAATATTCTGAAATAATATTGCAACTTAAAATAAGTTTTTTTACGTGAATATCTGCTAAAATGTAACTGATTTCTGTGATCAAAGCTGAATTTTCAGCATCATTCCTCCAGTCTTCAGAAATCATTCTAATATGCTGATTTGCTGCTCGAGAAACATTTATTATTATCATCAATGTTGAAAACAGCTGTGCTGCTGAATATCTCTGTGGACATCGTGATGCATGTTATTTTTCAGGATTCACAGATGAATAGAAAGTTCAAAAGAACAGCATTTATTCGAAACAGAAATCTTTTGTAACATTATAAATTGATCATTATAAAACGGAGAGTTACGGTCTTTGATTCTGATTGGCTGAGCCAAGTTCGAAGCTGTTGTAAATTACTCTACTAAGTAACACACACCTTTGTTTACTTCTGTGTGCTGCTCGGGAAACACTTTGTTGCAATCACAACTGTTTCTGAGGCGCTACATTGTTTGGTGGAAGAATACTGTTTTTATTAATATCATTACACTTTATTTGCTCTGTTTTATTCTGTGAAACCTTACTACATGTATGGAATAACCGTTTTATAAAAGCAATAAGCCCCGTGAAGCCGTGGTTTACAGTGAATTTATAACAGCTAAGGGGGTTTTACTCCGCTTCACGTTGTACCTAACAACGCTATATTCACTGCTTCTTGGGGCTTATTGCTTTAATTGAATGCATCCTTCTTGAACATAACTATTAATTTCTTACAAAAAACGACTCCCAAACAGTGGGACAGTAGTGTCTGTGTAAATATCTGAGGTTAAATGTACCGCGGTCCGCCCTGCAGCACCATGGTGACGGGGCCGACCAGATGTGTGACTCCTCCGACCCGAACAGCGGCGGTGAGCAGCTCCCTCATGTGAACCAGAGCCTGTCTCCGGGTGCGGCCTCTCCTCCAGCGCGTCTGAGCCGCGGACAAGAAGCTGCTGCTGGACACCTGCAGGCAGAAGATGCGCTTTAAGTGCTGATGTTCGTCTGAGAGCAACACCAGTGTCCTGCTGGGCGAGTCTGATCTTACGGTCTGATCAGGAGTGGTTCCTATGAAGGCGAACAGCTGTCCCAGCAGCACGCTGTACGTGGGCTTGTCCTTGCTGTCTTCGATGACCAAAGACTGCAGCAGAGTAAAAGAGCTGCTCCGGTGACTGGATGGATGCAGGCGCCTCCTACACAGACAGACAGACTGGCTGTTAGTTAGTTAGTTAGTATAGAAATTGTAGCAACATTTGGAATTTACTTATTAAAGCAATAAGCCAAAATAAATAATAATATGTGACCCTGGAGCACAAAACTGTATATTTCTAGCAATAGCCAAAAATGCATTGTATGGGTCATCTGAACAGAGTAATGTTTTTGAGAAACTGAACTTTGAATGACTGCAAAGGAATAGTTTCACAAAAAATAAATAAATGCATAAATAAAAATATATGCACAAATTAGTAAATGCATAAATAAATAATTCAGCTTTAATAATAATAATAATCACAAAAAGCTTTTCCTCTGCAGATTAATATAATTTAATAATAATATTAAACTACACCGAGTAATATAGTTTAATAGAAACTTGGATCATTAATATATAATTCAACTGATATGCGTGCGTATTTTAACTATTTTATACAGTGGGTACGGAAAGTATTCAGACCCCCTTAAATTTTTCACTCTTTGT